AGAGAACCAGGTGAACCAAAAGGTGATTTAAAGCAGGTAAACTTAACATGTATCCCACTTTGGCAACTTTCACCCTTTTTTAAAAATAATTAATTCTTTTTCCTTCTCTTTTACACTGCTGCTGCACACTGATGACTACAGGTACTGTCTGGGTAATCTCTTGAGTGCTGAGACATCAGTGTTGATGGACAGAGGGGTTTTTTTTTTGTGGGGCAGATAACCCAACGGAGGGCTACAGCTGCAGAGGAGGAAGCTCATTTGGGAACACTGGGGAGGCAGGACTCACCATCTTCAGAGCAATGTGAAATCAGGAGGCGAAATCCTGGGTAAAGCCCTCCTGTGCTTCAGCTGAATCAGCTGTCACAATGACAAGTGTGACATCTGCTAAAATACCTTACAGTGCGAGCATTATAATGATGCTTTACCGAGGATCATGTTATACTCAAAAGATGAGGAAAAACAGACATGACAAGAAGGTATTTTGCTGGAGGTCACCAATGGACGGGCAGCAGATCCACGATTTGCAGAGCCTGAGCCGAGTGTCCAGTACTGCTGATGAAGCATGCCATGGCAGATTCTGTTTGCTTTTGTATGGTGCCACATGAAAAGTAATTTTATTCTGACTGGGACAATGCGGAAATTTCTTCCTCTGTGACTTCAACACTAAGCCTATAACTTATAGTTATAGGCTTATTCTGAGCAGGCGCCATCCAGCTCCAGTGACTAAACAGTTACAACTCTTCTCAAGTCATACAAAAATTTAGTTTCAATATGATGTAAGGAAAAGGGAAGCTCCTAAATGGTTCTTGTAGCACGTAATGTCTGTTTTGGGGTGTCCCAATGAGAGATAAGAGTAGTCTGCCGTGTATTCTGCAGACCTGATCCTGTGATTGGCAACATCAGACATGCAGCTCCCTTTTGGCTCTGTTTTTCTGTTTCCATCCTATGGGAATCTGGCCACGAGGGGAAACGGGAGCACATGTCCAGGTCCCCTTTTTTAGACGCTGGAAGCAGTACTAGGGAAATGCTGCTGGCTTCCTCCATATAAACAGTCAACAACCACAAAACCTTTGTGCTCTTGCAAGATAATTATATACAGGTTTTGTAAAGCTGTCGAGGTATCTGTTTGGTTGCGATGGGCGTTGTGGCAAATCTAGTCTTTTCAGCAAACCTCGTTTTGCCTTTTGGAGGGGAGAGTGTGGCTGGTGTTTCTATTGGGAAAGTCCACCTTTGCGTTGACCTGCAACGGCTTTGAATTGTGTTGGTGCGGAACAGGTAGGTTACACGGTTACAGGCCTACAGAGGAATGAGGTACATACTTGGGGAGAAAAAATGGTAACACAAAACACTTGTGTTCTTCCAAATCCTGAATGTAGTTGAAGGGAATGGGGTGCTAACGTTTCATGCCATCTACCATAAAGAATTTCAGTTTTTCTTCTATGTTTATGAGTGAGAATTATTCGGAATATGTTTTCTAATGTACCCGGGAGAGGTTATTGCTACAGGAGACCATGATGTCTGCTTTGCCATAGCCTCCTGCCCAGTAGAAGATTGACTGGAAAGGGACAGGCTGCCCAGGTGTTCTAAGCCTTCTGTTCTGGGCATGGAAAGGGACTGTTCATGATCCCACTCAGCCCTTGCCCTCACCTTTGGCTGTAGACTTCTCTTCCCCCACAGATGCTATTTCAAGTGGCGTCAGACTCAGTGAGACCCCAGTTCTCTGCTGAAGCCAAACGCAGGACGGGGAGAGCTGGAAATGGGCTGGGAAAGATGCTGGTTGTGGGTAGGACTTCTTGAAAGGAGGTCTGGGAACTGGGCACTTGGAGGGCTGCAAAGAGGTGTGGTG